TTTATTACTTGTTATTATTGTTGGGGCTTTCATTTCATATTTAAGGTCGATCTCAACAGAAGAGGACGGTTTAATCCATTGTACTGCAGCCGTTCGGCCTTAATACGACGTTTAAATTGATGCAGTCCACGAGACCTCTTTCTTTTCAGGTGAAAACGGACTGAGATTTCGTCCATCATATGATGGATATCATCAGAGCTGGGACTAATTCTTGTAAAATTCTCAAGTGGACGAAAGCTAAGCCCGTTTTCACCTGAAAAGAGGGAGGATGTCTCGTAGACTGCATTAATTTCAACGTCGTATAAAAGCCAAATGGCTGCAGTACAACGGGATTCAACCGTCCTTTTTGATGAGATCGGCCTTCGAATCTCTTCTTCATACACCTTCATACGAAATGGAAGTCCCAACCATAATGTTATCCCAGGAGATTTATCGGAACCCAGTTACTTTTCATATATGCTTGTTATTAGCAGTCATCTCCTTTCATTATATGGGCTTGATCTATTATCGCTTTGGTAGCAATGCATTATTTACAAAGGACCTCTGATATATTGTATATTTGTATTATCTTTGCTCTTTGATTTTACACTGCATATAAATGCACATAGTTCATATTTTAGTTTGTAAGTAGGTTTTGAGACTTGTATTAGAGCTTTATTGATAGAAATTATATATTTTGTTTTCGGAGTCGCAGTTACTGGCTTATTTTTTTATTTTATATAAAGTTCTAGATAGATGAGTGCCTCGATATTATCTTTCATGGCCATTAAGAAATACTTCATTTGCCACTGAGTCAGTGATACAGTTCTATCCCTATATCTCCATTATCATCAACTTTGTTTTGTTGATTTTTTCAAAAAGCGTTACCTTTCCGCTGCTTAGAGATTCCCCATTCTATTTTATTCATTCTTTTCCTTATTTACTGTTTGGATTATTATTTTTAACCCTAAATCCTTTAGGTTAATATGCTATCTATTAAGGTACCCCTAATATCGAGAGCCTTCAGCTTTGCTTTTTTTTCTATCATACCTTTGCGGCTTTCCTTGAGTTCTTACATATAACTTGAAAAAATCCTTTTATGCTTACACATTTCTAAAGACGAAACAGTCTAAAATTTATAATTATTATAATATTTTTTTATCGCCTTGATCTTATTAGCCCCTTTAATTTGACACTACACTAGGTCGTGTATATCATATGGAAATAGGCTTATTTGAGGCCAACGAGTCACAGAACACATTGTGCTTACTTAGCAATGGATGCTTCTCCCATAGTTTAAAGTTATTCTAGGTGCTGATATGTGAAAAAAAGATTTATTCGTAGGTATGAAGACCAAGACGGTGTGGCCTTTTGTGTAGTCGCAGTCTCCTTTCGTTATATAGAAGTTGTTTGACCTTGTTTTCGCAACTCGGTCATATTGGTAGGAAGACTTAGAGGAACGCGCCTTGTCCTGAGTTCATTGTATGCATAATCATTTCCAAAGTCGGACCGTGGACCTGGTACATTCCCAGACGTTTCGCCGGCATCGTAGTCGGCATCGCCAGTGAGTTTTACCATTCGTAGCACAATATTACAACTCGTCAACGAGACAAGTGAAGCCGATCCTTTGACCAAACGTGTACTAAACAGTTATGGTATCTCTCGTGCCCTGGCCATGGGAGGGCAGAAGGATACCTCTAAGTCTTCCTACCAATATGACCGAGTTGCGAAAACAAGGTCAAACAACTTCTAAAAAGATTTATTGCCGAATATTGCGCAATCTTAGTGATTCGAAGCTGTCGTTACATTGCTGAGCTAGCATAGGTGTTGAGCTCTATGCATATTACTCAAAGTAGATTAATTTTCATGACTCTAAGTTCGATGTCGTTATAGAAATTGGGTTCAGACCTAATGGTGTCTGTCATATAACAGACGCTAGCTCTACCTATTTGCTGAAAACTTAGTAGGGTATTTAAAAGACTGCCTCAGTATGAGCACTCCATGAAAATCAAGAAGAATATACTGCCGCCTCCTGAACAGATTGAAATTAGGATCTCTCCATCACACACCTTCGCACGACACGAGTTCAGTTTAAAAATGCTATTTCGTGAGATTTCTTAAAAATCACTTTCTTTTCTTTTACACCATAAGTCGCTTTGACACAAGTCGGGTTGAAACCTTTAATATCCACACTAAATGAAGAGTTGGTTCAAAATTCAATTTTTTGTTATTTGGATTCGACCATAGGTTCCATAGCTCTATCACAGTTTATAAATTGACCCAATTCTATGCATTATCACCTCACGACGCCGACTTTCGGGTTTTAATCCCGCTGGTATTGCTGCCATTTATTCTATATGAGAGGCTTTGTAGATACAATTTACTGCTTCATAACTTCCCTTCAGAGTGTTTTGATAAATAGAAGTGGTACGATCTGAGCCCAAGCTTGCTTTCATTTTTGAATTCTTGGTTCATAGTCTTAATGGACTAATCATCTTGTCTATCTTTTATCCATCATTAAATCTTAACTTATGACTGTATTCATCCTAGGCCTCATATAGTAACTGATAGTCTAATTTCGCCTTAATGAGTTGAGTAGGCTCACTCTGCTATTGAATTTCACTTAGCATTGCTTTTCAAAATGTATTCTGATCAAGCAAGCCTAAGGGAAATCCATTGGCATCGTGAGACTTACTGTCCATCTGTGGGAAAATTCAACTATTTGTCCCTCACCACATTATGTGACTTAGGGTGAATACAGCTCTTATTCAAGATCTAATAGTAGTTTCGAAACTTTATTAATTTGAAAATCTTAAAT